ACATAAAATAAAAAATTTATATCTTTATGTTTGAAGCCTGAAATGTGGCAAAAGGTTGAAAAGTTCAAGGGGGCCGAATACTTTCGCAAGGCACTGTAAGCATTTTAATAATGATTATGACATAGTGGTGAAGTGGTTACCCTTGCTACCTTGCAGTGTTGGGTTCCATGGTTCAATTCCTGGAGTTCTGTCTGCATGGAGTTTGTTTGTTCTCCCTGTTTTCGCTTGGGTTTCCTCCAGAAGCCACAATTTACTACCACAGTCCAAAGACAAACAGTGTAGTGTAGTTAGTACAGTTAGGTTAATTGGATTCTAGGAAAATTGGCTCTGGCGTGTTTTGGATAAAGTGTTCAGAAAATGGATGAACAATACATGATTCATTGTGTCATAATGGTAATGTACTTTTTCCTTGAGCATTTCTAACTAGAAGAATGAAAGTATGGAAATATTTTTCTCTGCTTTTAAAGTGTTAAGAAATGGTGCTTGGGAGATCGTCTTCTGGGAGAAGGTAAGTAGCTATTTCTTAAGATATATGTCAAGTGTATGAGTGGGGAGAATAGGATTATATGTCATATAAATTATGTAGTTTTGCAATTCCAAGACATTCCTCGCATTATGTGGTGTATGTATGATTAAAAGCAATTATTTATATCTTGATAGTGAGTGAAACGAAGAGAACATTAGCATTAAATTCCCAGAACCACCTATCAGTCTTCTTTAAGAAACGAAGAGCTGAATTTGCCATACTGAACAGAACTGTAATATAATAATAATGGCTTACGCTTACTTAGAGCTTTTCTGGACACTCCACTCAAAGTGCTTTTCAGGTAATGGGGACTCCCCTCTACCACCACCAATGTGCAGCACCCACCTGGATGATGCGATGGCAGCCATAGTGTGCCAGAACGCTCGCTACACATCAGCTTTTAGTGGGGAGGAGAACTGAGTAATGAAGCCAATTCATAGATGGGGATTATTAGGAGGCCATGATTGGTAAGGTAATATTGGTAATATACAGTAGAGTGTTTTCTTCTGATGTGAATTTTGATGTGCATGTTCGGTGGCAGTATGACTAGAATGTTTTCATTGGTTAACTGAAAAAGAATATTCTGCGATCAGGCCTTTAACATGTTAAGGAGTATATCAAGAGATGATTTAAAGAAATTTCTGCTAACCCCAGAGTTTAACATGAGTTCCTATGACTCAGAGGTGCTGTCAATAAAAAATATAACTGGGGTGGTTTAGGGCTGGGTGATATGGCCTAAAATTTATATCACGGTATAATTTTAATTTTGGACGGTAACCGTATCACGCTATTTTTTTTCTAATAATTTCAATAGAACATGCTTTAAAAGGAGTACAAGACTTGGATAGTAAGTTTTTTATTGCCTGGAGTTAACTATTAGGTTATTATTAACTTTTGGTTAGCTACTGTTTTGTTCCTTTAGTATTTTTGAAATTTCACATTAAACTGAAGTAGTGTGTAATGTCCTTCCACCGCTGGCTTTTCTTGTCATAAGGACAATGACTAGTTAATGACTCGGGCAGCAATGTCTGTGTTGTGGCTTTTCTTTTCACACCGACACTAGAACTGCTTGATTTGGAGAGCATTCTCGTATTTTCCTCATACTCGCATACATGTTCTGTCTTTAGGTGATAGAAGAGGTTGCTTTTATTACTGTCTCTGCCTAAATTGTCGCCAGACATAGTTTGCAGATAATCATTTTCTGCTCATGGTCCGACTTTTTAAATCCGAACTATTTCCAAACAACCGATGAAGCACCTTTCTTTTCAGGACACCTGTTCACGTCTTGCTAACGCCGCCTTTATCCATTATCCATATCCATCCGTATTTGTGTTTGCAGACGGGCACACCGAACACGTGCATTTGTTTTCACAGAAAAGGGAAGAGGACCCCTGCATGTTTTTATTGTCTGCAATTATTCTCAGATGCGTCATAAACCGGATGTCTGAACCACCAAAGATCAATAATTCTGAACCTATCAGATTTCCAAATATCAGCAAGATGAATATTTTCAGAATTATATAATTGGAGCTAATATATGGCAGAATTTTAAACTATGACAGGTCAATAGTAAAAGAAAATATGGTTTGTGATGATGCTGGCAGCGCAATCTATGTAAACATCAAAATCCATTCTCAACCAGTATAAATGGTATAGCCAAATCCATATCATGGCACATATACCTATACCGGTTATACCATCCACCCCTAGGGTGGTGGATCAGATTGTCTCATTTTACAGTGACACAGACTTACAGACACATTTAAGACTATAAACATAATTTTTCATAATAGTATTTTCATTCCTGAAACTCACTGACCACTTTTAATTCATCTTACTTGGAAACAAAAATACAATGTCAGGGTTTCCAGATTACCTTCTTTTTCAATGCTACTGGACACACATAGACCAAGATGCTTCAATGGAGGCCAAAACAAGGCTCAAGCATGCGGATACAGGTCCAGCCATTCAGAATGCATGATGGATATTGCAGCAATTTGCAGTGCCCCAGAGCAACGTAACGCACCGCATTATTAAAAAAAAAACTTTTTGAACTGCACAATTTTGTACAGCTGCCAGGTGGTGCAGTGAATGCTTAATATGGCATATGGAAGCATTTGGGCTGTTGCCAGACAGCGCTTGGTTTCGAATCCCGGTCAGTGCTGGGCCCCTTGAGGCAATCTTTTTCCAGTTGCAATGTAAGTTGCATACTGTTTAAACTTTTTATTACTTTTAAACTGTGTATTACAGTATGTTAAACATTTAATTAATTAAAAGGTAGGTCTATTTTATTAAAATACAATTACTCAGTTATATTATAAAAAGAGTTTATTATTATTATAGAGTAGCTTGTTGTGAAGATAGCCAGCAGCCATGTCACCCTGCAGCTTACATTTGGCAACCCACTGAAGCTAGGCAGGTGTGAGCCTGGTCAGTATCTGGATGGGAGACCTCCTGGGAAAAACTAAGGTTGCTGCTGGAAGAGGTGTTTGTGAGGCCAGCAGGGGGTGCTCACCCTGTGGTCCATGTGGGTCCTAATGCCCCAGTAGAGTCACGGGGACACTATACTGTAAACAAGCGCCATCTTTCGGATGAGACGTAAAACCGAGGTCCTGACTCTCTGTGGTCATTAAAAATCCCAGGGTGTTTTTCGAAAAGAGTAGGGGTGTAACCCCGGCATCCTGGCCAAATTTCCCATGACTATGAATTGTCATTAAATGATTAATCACTAATATGAATTCATGCTCTATGAATTGGCTACATTACTTTGTTCTCCCCCGCCCCCGCACCGACGGCAGGCGGAGCGACGCGCCAGTTGGAGTATTCTCGGTCGCAGTTAATGGCAACGTCAGCTCAAAGATTTGGTTCAAACCACCAAATGGAGACGGGCAAGCCGACAAGGGGACCCTGCTGATGCGGGATTAACGCTAGGATGAGAGAGAGAGCTTGTTGTGAAGATGAACCTTTTTCAGGTTTACATCTGCATTGAGAAAATCTATATTTTGTCAGTGAACAGGTCAGTAATCAAGAAACAACTTTAACTTTACAAATAAACTAAAAATTCTGGCTGAAAATAAAAACAGAAGTATAACTTATTATATACGGGATACATTAGATAGTATTAGTAGTTAAATGTATGAACAAGTCCATGACAGTATTCAGCCTTTTTCATAAATATTTTATGCATCCAAGTTTTTTACTTGGCAACTTTCAGTGGGTATTTTGGGAGTTTTAATGTGTTTGTTCTACCTGTATGAAGTTTTTATATTGTACTTCATATAATATTTTATCCTTTTCTGAGAATATGTAGTAAGAACACTGTACTTGTTGTTATTGTAAAAAATGTTGTACCGATTTAATACCAGTAGGGAATATTTATATGGAATCATGTAATTAAGCAGCTAAAAATGTAACTTGTGAATATTTCTGAAACATTTTCACATGTTCATTTAAATCCCAGAGAGACCATTGCTTTGGTTTTCTTTTACATAGCCAGACATTTAAAAAAAGTGTATTATTATAGTTTGATGTGAACATGATTTGCCTCTTTCAGGTTTATATCCGGATTGAGAAAATCTATATTTTGTCTTAATACCAATTTCAGCAACGATTAATCACTAAACAATTTAACTTTAAATTTTGATTCTAAAAATATATATTTCACACATATTGTACTGTAGTAGCTTTCAAACCATATAGTACCATTCTGTATTTACGGTTTATTTATATATTTCTATATCTCTTATATCATACTGCAGTTGATTACTGCACTATATGATATAATACACAGTACTGCACAGTCTAAAAACATACTGGAAGGTTTGCCTCCCGCCGTTCCACAAATGCATATCCCATATTCTATGAAGTCAGATCCACAGATATACCAACACAGTACCTTACACAGCAGTGTGTTCCTATACTGTATAAATATACTCTATATTCAGTATGATACTGTATGGTTTCAAAGCCAGTACAGAACAGTATGTGTGAAATATGTTTTAAACAAAATGTAATCTTATATCATCAAATATTATCTTAATGTGGATGCAAACCTGAGAGAGGCAGATCTCGTTTGCAACACCCTATAATAATAAACTCTTTTTATACAGCCCGTTATGTAAAAAATATAGCCAAAAGGATCGCTCTAAAGGTTAATTCCAAGCTGAAAAGACAAGACTCAATGTGTCTTCTCTATAACTCTTCAGCTTACTCCTCATCCATGGTCATTCATTATTAAAATTATCAATAATATATTCCGAATTGCATTTAAATTAGAACGTTTTTACAAATATAAAAAGAGGTGATACACAACGTGTCTCCTCTATAACTCAGTTTACAGAAAAATTGCCCCAGAGCCACATAAAATTGTCTATACCCTATTACAAAAGGGAACAGAGCATCGGTCCTTGATTATGGTTAAACAGTACATACAGATGCAGCCATTCAAAATGCGCGGGCGATACCGC